TCTACCCAATCCCTTGGATTTATCTATCGTATTATTTCTGCATCTGGAATGATTTGTTTTACCCTCGGAATTAAAAAGATATTTTATTTGCATGACACTATAAATAACAGTGAAATTCAATTGGAATGATTTTTCCCGCCCATTGCTCCTTCATAATTCATAATTAAAATAAATGCAATTTAATTTCTCTAGATGAAAAATGATTTCTCGTATTTTTCTGTGTTCTCACCAGAATTTACCTGAAGAAAATGGTTCCACTAACGATAAAATGATCTTCCTAGGGAACGCATTCGGATCTAGTGGTCCAGATAGTCCTGATAGCAGAATCAATGCGCCTCCAGGCGATGATGGCAACGTACGGTATCCAAACGCAAACTCCCCACGAGGTAGAGCCAGTGCAGATTCTGTCATCAGTGCAGCTAGTGAAAGTCTACCAGAAGTTGGGAATAAATGGTAAATTGAAGCTCCAGGGTCGTCCAGGTCGTCCAATCGGTTCCCTAGGTACCAGTAAAGTGTACAGAGTCTGTGGTATGACAGTTCTTTGCTATCCCCTGATCTTCGAGGTATCGCAATTCTACTTGTACCGCGACATGGCACTCCTGATAGACGACATAAAAACCGAATTAAAATTCGTGGGAAAGTACTGGAGATTGTCAGGAAGACCAACCGTTTGTCTCCTGATTCGTGAGGAGCACATGAGAGATCCACAGTTCAAGGAGATGCTCGATTTATTTGCAATGCTGAAGAAGGGCTACTGCGATGGAACGAAAGTACGAATTGGTCGTCTTCAGAATCTTATATCATCATCCTGCATCGAGCACTTGGATTTTGTCAGCTCGATGGAGACTGATCTAGAGCTGACGCAATTCAAGCAGCTGAAGCACGACTACATCGGCTATCAGAGCCTGACTGATGTCCCGAGGACTCTGTCCTACGTTGAAGAGCCCATTGATTACTCGAAATTCACCAATGAATCAACACCGAATATTCTCCAGGAGATTCGCAACTCGGTGGGGCTTTACGCCAAGTGTCAGCTCTATGGAATGCTCTTGAAGAAAGAAGGGGTTAATTATGAGATCAGTGGAATGACTGTTGGTGATCACCTGAGGAAACTCTATCAGCAGGCTGGAAGCCTCAGGTACTGGATGGCTGTGAGGTACTGCAGCAGTTTGTTAAATCACACTGTCGACAGCATCAGTCCTTTCATCACTGGTGTTCTTGTCAAGGGAAAACAGATAACTGTTGGTGTCATTGGCCAGCAGGAGACTGTATTCGATAAACCAATGACACCATCTGAGATCCAGTCAGTCATGTACTCGACTATTCAGCCACACGATGTCGTCCAGGCTGTACTCCAGCAAGAGATTCTACTCTACTGTGGAAGATTAATTGGTACCAATCCTGACATGTTCAGGGGCATCCTCAAAATCAGGATTGGATGGGTTCTCGAGGCCATCAGGCTCTACCTGGAACTCTTCGTTAAGAACCCAAAACCTATTGAGAATTATAGTCCTTATGAGATCAGGAGAATTCTTATTAAGGTACTCACTGTCAAGGATTGGGCCTCCAGGGAGCATCTCACTGTCATCAGCAGGAGGAAGATCGAGGGGAGCCTCTGCAGGGTTCCACCACATTTTTATAATCAAGTGTGGGAGGTGCTGATGAGGTGTCCTGGGGGGATTAGAGTCAATGGAAAAGAATTGCCTCAGCAACCCACTCTTTCCAACATGACGAGATCTGAATTGACTTTTGCACTTCTTGTTGAATCAATTCTTCATCATATTCATCTGCCTGAGTATCGACAGATTGTTGTTGAGCTTTTGAATATTGTCTCCGTTATTTTGATGAGGAATCCAGAGCTCATGTTCAGGCGGGAATTGGATTTAAATTCTCTCGTGGAGGATGCCTTCACCATGTATTGTAAGGATCATAATGTCGAGAGGAGCTCTGATATGGCGAATTTTTTTGCTGCTCATTACTCTGTTACCACTGGGTATCTTGCCAGGGCTGTTGTCAATAATGTACTCACGGGGGGGTCTATGGTCACTCCTATTGATTTTGATGTACCTAGCGAATCCTCGGAGATGTGTAATGTTAGTTAATTTATTTAAGATGTTGTGTTATTCTAAAATTCTGGATCTCTGATCTGAAATTCTCACAAAATCAGGGGATATCAAAATTGAAAGATTAATTGTTATCGCAAATTGTTAATTGTTTTATTGAAATTCTGGGGATTCGCCGTTTTTTTTGGTGGGAATTCTTTTTTGTGGCCTCTTTTTGGATTGGAGGCTTTAGATTTTTTTAGTGATTCTGCTCAGACTGGAATCTTCTGTGCCATGTAAATAAAATGAAATACTCATTATTTTCTTGTTTATTGTGTGATTTTGGAAATTGTTTTAATGGAATTATTAAAATTTTTAAAACAATCCACTCGAGAGTTCCTTTCATAATTTCGTCCTAATGAATATTCATAATAACAAACAATTTCTGGTAAAAAATTTAATTTGTTTATGAATTTTCTATTTTTACTCGCGCACGTGCAATTTTAATTTTTTTTATTGCAATTCACTCGTTCGGAGGCACCGTAAATTACCCATTTAAAAATCTCGGAAATTACTACCTGGAAAGTACATAACGGTAATTTTCTTGTGTATGCGCAACTAGCGGTAAGAATTATAAAACTCGAGAGTTGGCAGTTCTGTAGTTTATTAAACTGCACGCACAAACAATTGCGCAGATACCGAAAGTTATTTAAAAAGTGCAAACCGAAAAATTCCCCATCAAACTCTCATTTTTCTCTCTCACTTTCACGATTCATTATAGCTCCATCACAATTTGTTATTAACAATTTAAGTAATTGAACGAGTGAGCGACGCGCGCAAGGAATAGACGCTTAACCTCGACGAATATAATTTCAATTATATATAATATTCTATATAAATATATAGGGAATACATAAAAGAAAATATCAAAATGTCGAGGACAAAATTAGTGTGCGTTTTTATTATCGCGGTTGTTAATGGTGAGGAAATAATTATTGTCTTTTAACCCTTTTCTTGATTAAAGCTTTCCCCCACCTTTTTCCATTTCAAAATACTGCGCATGCGCCGCTGTGTTGGTCTTACGGCAGATTAATCTGCGCATCCACCCCCACCCCGGCTGTCATAATTTTGATTTTTTCAATTTTGCGGAAGGGTAATTAATCTGTCATTAATTACAACATTTGGGAATTAATTTCAGGAATTTTTACTGCGGAATTATCGAGATTTAATCCAGGGTCTAATGACATCTGCGGAAAAAATCAAATCTGGACCGAATGCGGAGCCGCGTGTCCAGACAGATGTATCAGACATCCGAACAGAATTTGTCCAATTGTAAGTGCAATTGTTATTAACAATGATCAATTAAAAAATTAATTATCCAAAAAAATTTTACTTTTTCTCGAATTTCAATCTGAAAAAATGACCAATTTAAATTATTATTACAATTATTAATTGATATTAATAATGATAATTAATTGTTTATAAATTTCGAGGAATTGATTCCCCGGAAAAATTGTAATGAATTTATTTATAAATCTTGAGGAATTGATTTTTTAAGGGATTTGCCATTTTTTGGAATTTCAATTTCAGTCGATTTGTTTAATTGATTTTTATATTGTTTATAGGAAAATTGCGTGAGGGGATGCGACTGCAGTCCAGGATTCGTCTTGGACGAGAATTTGGAGTGCGTTCATCCGTCGGAATGTCCAGGAGGCGGAATTCACGTCGCAGTTCTGGAGAACAAATATTCATACGGAATGTATGAAATAATATAAATAATCTACCCCGTTATTCCAATAATTTCATCAATAAAAAAAATTCATAACAATACAATCCATTTATTTTAGGCATTCCCCAGTATTCCTTAATTATTTCAATTAATTAATTAATTATTTTTGGGAGCTGATAAGAATTTTTGGTGGATGATATTTGAATTATTGATGACATAAGTTTTATCGAGATATTTAATCAAGATATTGTAAATAATGGGGGAGGTGTAATTAATTATTATCTCTTGTTGAAAGTAGGTCAAACTGCGCATGTGGAAAAATAAACAGTCAAGCGGAAATTTTTCGCATTTACACGGGGAATTCCCCGAAATCGTAATCACTGAAGACGCGACGATTTTCTGTTCACTATAAGGAATGCATAAACAATTGGATAAATAAATAAAATTGCCATTTCACATCAGCCCGAGGACTCCACTCACAGGGGAGAGGTTTCAATATTCCGAAACTCGAAAACCGCAGAGTGGAATCGAATGATTTTTATTTCATTTGAAAGCGCAAAAATTGAAGATTAAGATGAAACAAAATTTTTTAAATTCCACTCGACCAATCGGATGGTATTAACGATTGATCGAAGAAATTCGATGTTGCGGTTTTACTTTTCGAGGGACGATGGACGGAATATTTTAAATTAATTTATAAAATACTGGTAATATGTAATTTCTGCATGGATTTCTCACACAAAGACATCAGAAATGGGATCTACATTTTTGATAGTGCAAATATTAGTCGACATCTGCTGCGTATTGACTTCGATTCGATTATTCAAATTAGAATTTGACTATATAAAGACGATGGGGAAAGTACAAAATCACACTATCTGTAGAATTATTCAGTGATAACAATGAAGCTCGCCCTCGTTGTCTTCGCCGTTTTATTGGCACTTGTTCCCCACGTAAGTACTTGCAGTACTTCATAATATATCAATTACACAATCAAAAAGTTGAAGTTTTGAAAAGTAGTTGAGTTTTCGCGGGATTTCCCGGAATCTATGAAGAATATCGAAATTTTTCACAGAACCTTTTTCGTAGAGTAAATCAATACCCAGAAAAAAGGTTTTATCAAAAAATTCGCTAGCTCTCATGCATTCCGAGAAATTCCCCGAAAAGGTTCATCAATTTTCGTGTCATAATTTCATGTAGCACTCGGAGGCTGCATCCCTCGGTGGAGCTCTCGAGGCAGCTAGCCAAAAAACCCAGGACATAATAAACGCTGCACTAGCTAAAGTAGAGGAAGTCGTTGAAGATGTGAAATCAAAAGCGGCAAGACTAGGCGAGGAATTGCGAGGAAAAGTCGATGACTTCCTGAAGAAGATCGAAAAAGAAGTCGCTAACGCTCTGGAGAAGGTGAGGACGAAATTCCCCAGGCCCATTTCCCAAATAACCGAATAACTTTTCCAGATTCACAACAGAGTAAACGAGATCGTCGGCGATCTCGACGATCCAAATCTTTCAGAATGCAGAAGACTCGCGGGAACAGTCCGCGATACTTTCCTGTCAGTTGTCGCCGAAGAGAGAAAATGCGTTGCTGATAAATACGAAAATGGCAAACTATATATTGCAGAGATATCCGAAATCGCGAAGGAAGTCAGAAGTGAACTCAAGGCCCTGCGAGAGGCAGCGCACGAATGCGCTGAGAATGTTGATGGACTCAAAGCTACAGTAGAGGCCATCATCTGCATCAACAAAGTACGTAAATGAAATTTTACCTCATGACTGTGATGAATAATTGATTTAAACATCTGTTTCAGATTGGGCTGCAAGCAGTTTGGGTCAGCGCAAAGAGAGTCCCAGAAGTAACAGCTGTTTCTGTCAAATTGGGTTTTCTTGTGAATACTCTGCCAATTACTCTTCCTCAGTGTGCAGCGAAGAATGGATTCAGCAAGATTCATGAAAATGTTGATCAGCTGTTGTCGGGGGTGAAACAATGCGTTAAGGAAGCTACGGAGGGCGGAAATAAACCTGTTGTAACTTCAACAGTTAAATTGCCAACGACTTCGGAGGATTTTCCAGAAGCTACGGAAGTTGTGACTGAAGTCACGGAAGTTGTGACTGAAGCTACGGAAGTCGTGACTGAAGCTACGGAAGTCGTGACTGAAGCTACGGAAGTCGTGACTGAAGCTACGGAAGTCGTGACTGAAGCCACGGAAGTTGTGACTGAAGCCACTGAAGTTGTGACTGAAGCCACCGAAGTTGTGACTGAAGCTGACCTGTCCTAAATATTTTATTCGTTACTATTGTTACTATTTATAGGTCAACAATAATTATTTTGAATTAAAAGAACTCCAATTCTAACCTAAACAGGACATTCATCGCTGTTGATTAATTCTATCCATTTCCCCGGCGATTTTCCATCACAAATTGAATTCTCAATTAAAAATTATTAATTAAATATCCATCATCCGAACAAATCAGTCATTGTCAATATTCATTATATTTTCGTCTCTCATATTTACTGTAATAATCGTTCTGTGGATAATCTTAAAGCGATAACCTCAATCTAAAGTTAATGTGCGATAAAAAATACTTTGAGAAAAGGATAAACTGAGTAGAATTATGGGAGTAATAAAATGTCGGTTCATCATAATTATAAATAAAAAAATGTCACTCAATTTTTTGGGTGAAGGATCTGATGACGATTTCCCAGGAGTGCGTAAAACTTGCAGATGAAGGCGGTGAGGTTGGAGATAATGGGACACGGGGGTTGCCTGAATTTCCAGAATTCAGTCATCGTTTTTGATAATTCGTCGAGTAATTTCGATATGGCAGGATAGACACCGTGACTTGCCAATTCAAATAACTCGACTGATGCTCTATCCACAGTATTATATAGAGCCCATAGATGTGGAGGAATTTGCGTCACCTGCAACAATCAATGAAATACATGAGGGAAAATAAAAAAAATATTGATAGCAATTGAATTAATTGTGAGTTGAGGTAACACTCACGTCAAATGACGATTTGTCATCAGTCCAATTTTCTTTACAGGCGATGCACTTGCATTGAATTCCAATTATAGTTTTCAGGGCCTTTTGGCGCTCGTCTGTGGGTGCTAATTCAAAACCACTTGCTCGACATCCGATTAACTGAAAAAATAGAAAATAATAGACATTGAAGAATAAAAATCGATAAAATAGTGTAAATTTGTCTGTTGGAGTTGTCATTATTTTTAGAAGAAATAAATTAATTACCCTCTCCCCCTTTTTAATGGGATAACGCGCGAACATCACAGACTTCCTCCTAAATTCTTGAACTGAAACATTGGGAGCACAACTGTGGGACAAACGAGCATAAAGTGGAGCCAAGGCCAATCCGCACTGCACATAATTTGTGAAATTTAAACATGAGGAAATTTCTTGGGATCCCCCCACCATGATGAGAGTGAATCTCGTCATGAGACCCCCGACAAATGGCACCAAGTCGTTCTGGAAAAAACGCTGAGTGGTCATCTGCTCTCCGAAGAATTTACCCTTCGTCGCCAGAACGAATGTCATAAATACTGACGTCATTGTCATCGCCAGGAGTAACCGGGGTTTTCTCACTGCAGCGTGAGTTGGCAGTGAAAAAAATGTCTCGAGACTTCTGCCATCGAATACTGAACCTGAGAATCCCCTCTTCAGCAATTCTACAACAAATTTTATTATAACTTAATAAATTTAAATCAATGCTCTTGATCCTGAGAATATTGTGGGAATCCCACGATTCGTTAGTCTCCAAGAAAATAATTTCCATGAAATATTTAAATATTAATGATCGAATTATTAAATATTGATATTAAATATACGAATGAAGTTTGAATTAAACAAATATAAAATTTATTATTAATAAAAAATTTCACCAGAATTATTTTCCATGCTCCTGACCCTCCCCCTGAGTGCCTGAAGACTCCCCGCCTCCTTGAGTGCCCGGATAATAGCCCTGACGATCATGGGTCCAAGAACGTCATTCTGTACGAACTCCATCCCCTCCACGACTCCACACTCGAGGTCATGGTATTCCCTCCAGGCAGTGTCCTTGCAGGTTTCTGAGCAGTAGATCCTCAAGACACAGGTGGTACAGGGAATGCCTGAGAATGTTTGAATGAAACAGTGGGCACAGTAGCAGTAGGACTTGCGCTCATGAAGAGCAGCAACGAAGGGTTCCTGTACAGCAATGATTTCCCCAGGTATGATATCCCTGCTGGCCCTCACCACGTCACCAGAGAAATGAATGGAGCTGGATGCCCCGACGATTTCAGGACTTTCCTGAAAGACATCTTTAAGGAAAACCTCGCTGTTCCATTTTTCCAGTAGTGGTGGAGGCCTCTGAAAATCTCTCAGGGTGTCCTCCACCAATCGTCTGTGAGGGTGTCTCTTCTCCATTCGTCTGAGCCACTTCCTGGCGTTCTCCAGGGCTCGATCGACATCTCCAGAGTCCTGAGTGCCCAGGGCTTTCAGGCAGAGGGCCCTTCTCGCGAAGAGTTTGGCCTTGAGGCGGTCAGGATATCCTGATTTTAAGGCTCGCGTTATGTCCTGGAGGGCGTCCTTGTACAGCCGTACTTTTAGGAGAATTGCGGAACGATTTGCGTAGGCCAGGGCCATCTCTGGGGATCCCTGGGGGGCGTGTGCCAGGGTCCTTGTCAGACCCTCGAGGATGATGTTCATGCAGACGTCTGGAGCGATCTTGTAGAGCAGGTTCACCTCCTCTCGAAATAGTCTCGAGTCTTTCGCGTTTTTGCCGGCTCTTGGGACCTGCAGCCGCGATTTCCAGGTCTTGAAACACCTGTGGGACTTTATGCTGTTCATTACTGTCTTGAAACGATCCTCGTCACTCATGTGAGGCAATGATTTCAGGTTAATCAACTTCTTCACCGACTCCAGGTCGATTCCTGAAAACCAGGTACTCTTCTCCTCGTCCATTGGATCTCCTGGGGGACGTGAACGAATCATTTTGGTCTCGAATGCTGGAATTATTTTGAAGTCGTCAATAAATTCGAAATGAGATAATTATTTCAATCTCTTGTCACTCTCTCCAAGAATTTTTCTGTTTAATTTTTCTCTCGAGAGAATTCCAAGGCTTATCAATTTTTTTGTTTTTGGAATTCAGGGGAATTTTCGGTTTATACCCTGAAGGTTAGGATTTTTATTTTTTACGCACCGGAGAGATTTTGGCTGGAGTTGGTTTTTTCTTTTTGGGAGACAAGAAAAAATGGAAGTGATTAATTAATTAATGGAGAATTTCCCTGGAGTTTAATTATTAAAGGGCAATAGAGACGATGGGATTAACCGATTGCTTTATCGAGCGATTGCTGACTGTCAAGATAATTTTCTGATAAGAAATTTGCAAAGGAGAGGTCGGTAAGGAGGGCGTGTGACATTCTCCTTGGAGTTTCAGGAGAAGAATAGAAATTCCATCGATTCCAGGAGGTCTCCTGAATCCCCAGGATTTGAGGATTCCCCAGTGGCTGGAGACTGGAAATTTCTCAAAAATTATCAGCACGAGAGTCTCCTAAAATGTCAGCCCCAGATTCAGAATTCATTCTGATCCAACGAACGCGTGACGAGGTATTCACATATCACCACGAGTGGAAGATCAAGAACTTCAGTGGACGTCCAGAGGCACCAGGTCAGTGCATAAAATCCTCGATGTTCTCTCTGACACGCGACCCAGATAAAAAATGGTACATCAGGCTGTACCCAAAAGGCACTCATCAAGACGAGCCAAATTTCATGTCCCTCAGGGTCTGCCTCAAGGCTGAGGACCCTGTGGAGGAGGTGCCCATGAAGGTGGAGGTGTCAGTTCTAACTGTTCACCAGGTAAAAAAATTTCCAATTACTTGGGTCCATAAGTACTTGACAGGACGACCCTATGGCCCATCCAAATCATTCCACAGGAATTGGTTGCAGAGTTCTCCTGATGTTTATCTTCCTGGGGATATCTTGACTCTTTTGTGTCAGTTTACTGTCCTGGAGCCGCCGAATTCTGTGTATGACAGACCAAAATTCAAACAGGTGGAGAGACGATTGGGCCAAGACTTGGAGATTTTTCTCTCGGAGGGGTCCTGGTTCAGTGATATTTCTTTCGACTTCAGTGGTGAAATAATTCCTGCTCACAGGTCTATTTTGGCTGCCAGGAGTTCTGTCTTTGCTGCGATGTTCAAGTACTCTGGGGATGTTGTTCCTATCGTTGATATCCAGCCTGATGTCTTCAAGGCGATGCTGACGTATATTTATACAGATTCTGTTCCCAGGATCAAGGACATGGCAGGTAAGCAAGAATATTCTCTCAATTTCTGCCATTCGTCTGTGGATTTTTCAGGAAAAAATCTCCCAGGTGGATTTTTCCTGGTGGAATCCAAATGATTCTCTTTATTTATGAATTTAAATTGTTTGAACAGGACAACTTCTGGAAGTTGCTGAGAGGTTTGGCCTTGACGGTCTGAAAGCCATGTGTGAACCCATCATCTTCGAGAAAATAACTTTTGATAATTGTGCTGAAGTCCTGGTGACGGCTGATTTGGTCGGTGCCACGCAGCTCAAGACTTCAGTCATTGAATTCATCACCAGAAATCTCAAGGATGTCGTCAAGACCCAGGGGTACCGGTGTCTGGAGCAAATGCATGCAGCCCTGTTGACGGAGATTATCCTGGAGATGGAGCCGAAAACCAAGAAACCCAAGCAAGAGACCTAGAGTAGTCGATTGAAGTCTCAATTATTTATCAGGATTATTATAATTTTTTATGAACTCAAATATCGAGAGTATTGTTTATTACGCCTTAAAGTTGTGAAAACATAAAATTAGTAATAGTTATTGATACGAATAAAGAATTATTATTTCTCTCGGGGAATATATTTTTTTTAATATTTAAATTCTCGCGGTTTAATATCAGGGTTTTATTGGACGAGCGATTGAGCCAGTGGTTGTGTAGCAAATATCTGAAGGCAGAAATTTTTAAGGAATAATTTATTTGAAAAATATATGCTGTGCGTAAATATTCGGATAAATACGTCCAATTGGTCGTGTATTGATTTCTTATTGATGAGAGAAGTAAGAGTGAAGACAAGAGAACATTGAGTAATTTTCAATTAATCTTTGAGATGAATTAAGTGTTTGGTTTAACCTCTAACATTTGGAAATAATGTTTTTCTGGAAAGGAAAGCGAGTTACAGCCAAAAAATACGAGACGCAATTAATTCGTCAACAAAATGGTTTTGCAAGACGTAAATATCCAGTGCCGGATGAGAAATCCGTGATAAATGGTAGGAAAATCCTCGAATTTCTCATTAATTTCCACGGAAAAACCATTACGTCCCTCGCAGATTTATTTGAAAAAAAATTTCAAAAATTCCTGCAATCCGTACAATAAATTTTTCGAAAAGGGACGAAAGTATTCGAAATATAATAATTATTTTCTCGTCCCTCTGGTTCACGATTGGTCGATTATTATTAATTGAAATAATTATTTGTTCCAGAGAAACGAAAGAGCAGAGCGAAGTACATGAGGATGTATAGAAAAAGAAAACGTGAGGAAATAGAGACTAAAAATACACCAGAGAAATCAAAGAATGAAAATAATGAGTTGTCCCCGTCCTTTTGGTTCGTCAACGTCGATTCTGATTATGAAGAATCCGATAAAGAAACTGCAGAAGAAGATATTAAAAAATTGGAAGAAAATACGACGTGATGTGATTACTCAATGAAATAACTGAACAATTACCATTTTTATAAATAATATCTATAGTTGTTAATAAATTATGAATTTGTTTTGTAATGAATTGTATTTTGAAGAATTTATTGCTCCACCGATTTATCCTTTAAAAAAAATGTAGAAAAGTTAATAAAGAAATTAATAATTAATTAAAAATCGGATTACGAATTTATTCCTTTGGATTCATAATGAATTAAACATAAACAAATGAATGAATGAATTAATTCCTAAATTAAAAATGAGATAATTAATATAAGATTACGAATGAATAATTAATTGTACAATCAATGTGAAAATTATTTTTTAATTCAGAATTCTTTTGAAAAATTCCTTTTGGCATCGCCGAGGGTGGGGGAGGGGGAAGTGGAGATTGTTTTTGAATGACTTTCGGTTTTGGTTAAATCATGACGTGAAATCGAAATGTCTCCTGGAAATCATCGGCTGGATAATGAGCGAGAGAAATTCATTACGCGATGACGTTGACACCGACGTACACACGAGGGATATTAATGAATTATTAAATAATTTGGGGACTGATGTAATGACGGGATTATCCAGTGCAAGAGCTCGGGAATTGATAGCGGAAGTCGGGGCAAATGCGCTGACACCCCCCAAGAAGTCATCGGAAATTTTGAAACTGGGGAAATGCTGTTTCTGTGGATTTTCCACGCTCATATGGGTCTGATATCATTTTAATTATTCATCAATTATTTTCAAAAAAATAACATTACGATACGATACGATAAAAAAATAAAAATAGGTCGGTGCATTCCTCTGCTTCGGGAGTTACATTTTAGAATCGGCTACACGAGAGGATGCCTCCCCAGATCACCTCTGGCTGGGTGTTGTCCTCGCTCTCCTGACGATGATAACCGGAATGTTCAGTTACTACCAGGAATCAAAAAGCACAAAAATCATGGAGACATTCAACGAGCTACTCCCACAAAAAGCTGTTGCCCTGAGGGACGGTGAAAGGAGGGAGCTCAATGTTACTGAGTTAGTCCCTGGGGACATTGTCCTCATCGAAACCGGTGATCGAGTCCCTGCTGACATTAGAATCCTGGAATGTCAAGGTAATGTCTTTCTCCTTTCACTTCTCTTATCGTTTTTTATCTTATTCTCATTCCCATCGGAATTATTTCAGGTCTTAAGGTCGATAACGCATCGATAACTGGTGAGTCAATCCCCCTTTTGAGATCATCAATGACGTCAGGGGGGAGCATTCTCGAGAGCAAGAACATGATTTTCTTTTCCACAAATGTAATTGAAGGTAATTGATTTTTTTTTATTAATTCCACATTTTGCATTCAATCGATTAATTGGAGATCAATAAAAAAAATGTTAATATTTCTTTTTGATTGATCTTCTGGAATTAATGATATTCATTAACAGTTGTTCAATAATTATTAATTGATGAAGGTAGAGGCAAGGGTGTGGTGGTGGCATGTGGAGATCGTACAGCGATGGGACGAGTAGCAAAATTGACATCGAGACTGTCTCCAAGACCAACGCCTCTGTCCCGAGAGATCGCCTCCTTCATGAGGTACATCTCCTGCTGGGCTGTCTTCCTCGGGTTCTCCTTCTTCGTGATGTCTCTGGGGATGGGCTACGGTGCTATCGATTCGTTGGTCTTCCTGATAGGAATAATCGTAGCAAATGTACCAGAAGGTCTTCTAGCTACAGTTACTGTCAGTCTTACTCTCACAGCCAAAAGGATGGCCAGTAAAAATTGTCTCGTCAAGAATCTCCAAGCCATCGAGACACTCGGCTGTACAGCTGTTATCTGCAGCGATAAAACAGGAACTCTCACTCAGAACAAGATGACAGTACATCGACGAATTAATTTCAATATCAAATTGTTTTAAATTAATTGAGCAGTAATTAATATAATAATATATGGTCTCAGGTAAGGCACCTGTGGTTTGACGGACAACTGCGGGAGGTGATGGCTGGACACAACTGGAGATGGTACCACGATAATCCTGGATTCAACAATCTAGCGAGAATTGCCAGTCTGTGCAACAGAGCAGAGTGGGCACCTTCTCCAGGACCTCCACCACCCCTCACCAAGAGAAAAATCCTAGGTGATGCCTCCGAGGCAGCCCTCCTCAAGTGCCTGGAGGTCCTCGTCAAGGGTGGAGCTGCATCCTATCGACAGCAATACACAAAAGTATTTTCACACCCAATTCCTAAAAATAATTAACTCCGCAGAATAATTTATTGTCAAACAATCCGTAATGTCTCATCAGATTATTCTCCCCGTGTGATTGTCCGTTTATTGTAGATTTTCGAGATTCCCTTCAACTCGACAGACAAATATCAGGTGAACATTCACTCATTCAAGGATCGGTACCTGCTGTCTCTGAAAGGAGCCCCTGAGAGGGTCATCGAGCACTGCACAACCGTTTCCTTCGGCTCAGAAACCCGAGGACTCACTGATGACGTCAAACTGGCTTACCTGGCAGCCTGTGACGATCTAGCGAAGAATGGAGAACGAATCCTGGGGTTCGCCGATTTAGAAATCCCCGGGAAGTTCTTCCCGAAGGATTTTCAGTTCAATGGAGATCCCCTGAATTTTCCTCTGCAGAATCTCCGCCTGGTGAGATCTCATTTCCCCGTTGATATTCTGATTTTAATTCAAAATTTAATTTTGATGAATTAAATTTAATTAACCGGAGAATTTATTCTGAAAAAATTCTCCGAGGTGGGTCTGATAGCGATGCTGGATCCCCCACGTCCAACGGTCCCGGATGCCGTGTACAAATGTCGTCTCGCTGGTGTAAAAGTGATAATGGTGACAGGAGATCATCCTGACACAGCGAGAGCAATAGCAAAAGCAGTGGGAATAATAACGGAGGACCCCCAGGTCGATTCCTCCCACTCAGTCGTCCTCACAGGCTCAGAGCTCCGGGAATTCGGTGCCCACGAACTCGACGACCTCATAAGATCACACCCAGAGATCGTCTTCGCGAGGACATCACCAGTGCAGAAGCTCCAGATAGTCGAGAGCTGCCAGAGGCTTCACCTCATCACAGCTGTCACTGGTGATGGTGTCAATGACTCGCCAGCCCTGAAGAAGGCGGACATCGGGGTCTCGATGGGCATCACAGGTTCAAAACAATTAAAATAAATTATAATTCGGAAATTAATTCCTCGGAGATGACGCCATGATGGTCTCCGAGATATAATTTAATTATAAATAAATAATTTATTTTTTTTTTAATGTTCCCAGGATCAGACGTGAGTAGACAAGTCGCTGATTTAATTCTCCTCGACGATAATTTCGCTTCAATCGTAACGGGAATAGAAGAGGGTCGACGAATTTTCGAATGTTTGAAATCAAGTATCGCTTATACATTGGCCAGCAATGTTCCAGAGATCACTCCGTTCCTCGCGTTCATAGCATTTGGGATTCCCCTGCCTGTGGGAATAATCTGCGTGCTGTGCATTGATTTGGGGACGGATATGTGGCCGGCAATTGCTCTGGCATATGAAGAGACAGAAAGTGATTTGATTAAAAGGCATGAAATAAATAATTGCCTCTCAATAATTATAAAAATTAATAATTCTCATTTTCTATTCAAGGTTATGTTACCAATTATTATTAACTGCTATTAATTAATTCTTATTGACTCATTATTATCAATAGAAATATAATGATCATTTGTAGACCCCCCCGGATTCCCCAAACCGATCACTTGGTCAGTAGAAAACTAGTTTTCATGTCATACGGTCAAATCGGAATAATCGAAATGGCCGCTGGTTTCTTCACGTACTTCGTGGTGATGGCGGAGAATGGCTTTCACCCTGGGGACCTGGTGGGCCTCCGTGCCACCTGGGACAACCGAGCAGTTACCGATCTCAAGGACAGCTATGGCCAGGAGTGGTCCTACCACCAGAGAAAAGTCCTGGAGTACACGTGTCACACCGCCTTCTTCGTAGCAATCGTCATTGTCCAGGTGGCAGACGCCATCATCTGCAAGACCAGGAGAAATTCCATTCTCCATCAGGGTATGAACAATTGGGTTCTCAATATTGGACTTCTCTTCGAGATCGTGATGGCGTGCGTTGTGTCTTACGCACCTCACATGGACGTCGTCCTCAAGACTTATCCGTTGAAGGCTAGGTGGTGGCTTCCTGGGGTTCCTTATGCTATTCTTATTATCATTTATGATGAAATCAGGAAATTCTGGATTAGGCGGCATCCTGGGGGATGGTGGGACCGGGAGACGTCGTACTGAAGATTTCAGTCCCAAATTCTCATTTATTTTCTTGTCCTCAAAAAGGACTCGGTACGTTCCAATCTCCTCCAATTCATCATTATTATTATTTTTAATCAGATATAGTAGAACTAAAAGAAAAAATTGTAATCATCACCTCCAGGAGTTCCTGGAGTTGTAAAAAAAATAGACAAATTAAATCTCTGTGGAGGAACGGAAGGTTTAGGAGAATTCCAATCGAATTTCTTGAGGAAATAATTTTTTTGAAGATCCTGATATTCAGGATGGAATTGAATTTGAAGATATAGTGATATTTTACCTGGACAGGAAGGTATGGGGCACTGGCGAGTGTTGTAACCCGTCGACACGCACGAACGAGTGGAAAGTGGGGGAGACATATAAGATCCTTGGAGGCATACGAAGCCCCGGTAGTCTCTAGTCATCACGCTTTGCATCTACAACGAGAGTGAACTGAAAAAAAAATTAAAAAGGGTAATTGTTGACACCTGCACCAGAGACTTTCATCCGTCAGGATGAGGACCACCAGCATTTGCCTGCTGCTCGCATGTCTCGGTGAGTCACGAAAGGACTTTCTCGTTCGCTTTTCGACGGTTTTTCTAGCCCCGATAATCTCGAAAGTGTATGACCCAGTTATGCATTTCTTCATCGGTCTGTTTTTCCTTTCCTCAAAGTTTTCATTTGAGACTCAAATATTAAATTAATTAATTAATAAAATTAAAATAATAAATAAATCACAACTAGTTCCATCGATTTATACTTTTATTTCTGTATGCCAATCATTTTATCTCAATTATTCATGAGAATACCGATTTATTCGATTGCAATAAATATTAAAAAAATGTTCTCACGGCGTGCAATAATCGATAAAAAAATGCATCGAGAGGAAAATTCTGAAAACCGGAAAGTCAGGAGATGCTATCGAGTTTGAGCGTCGAAGAACCGAAGACTTTCACGCTTTCTTCTTGAAGTCGTCGAGGTCGACGGGCAGTTGCTTCACGGCCGGTCTAAAGGCCTCGTAAACTCGTTTAAAATTCCCCACCGGGATATGGGATTTCATGTTTATGACCTTGACAGGATTGACAGGAGCATTGACAAGGAAGCAAGAGTCAGCTGAACAGGGTAGACGAAAAATTGGTTATCGCAGACACCAGACGACATCACCAGCTCCAGAGGACGATGAAGAGTACGAGGACATAGTCTTACCGAACGAGTGCCCAGAGCCCAACGGTTTTTTCCCCGATGACAAGCAGTGCGATAAATACTACGACTGCAGGGATGGAAAATTCACGGCCAAATTGTGCCCCGATGGACTCGTCTTCAACGACTTCAGTCCACAGCACGAGAAGTGTGATCTTCCCTTCGGAATCGATTGCAGCAAACGACCGGAGAGACGTAAGTCAAAAATATATCACCTAATATTTACATATTATTTAATATAATATAATAAAGAACTTCACATCAACCGAAATTTAAAAAACAAGTCGATTAAAACAAGTCGACGCGCAAGACGTCGATGAATATCTCCGAATCTCGCAGAGATAGCGCATTTATGATAATATCCTTTTTTGTCGATCTTTTTTCCCTCTGTAAAAAAGATCTTATCGAAAAAATCGGTATTACACGCGGGGTCTGAGATATTTGAGGAAATCGGCAGTAAGAAAAACGTCGGTTCGTTATCTTTTGCAGAAAATTGTGTATATTTTGAAAAAGCAATTGGCTAAAGGGAAAATCGGATGATTGAAGGGAAATTTCAGGGGAAATTGATACATTCAATTTTTTATCTTCAGAGTCCCCTCAATCCTCTCCCCACTGTCCCCGAATGCACGGATATTTTGCCCACGAGACTCCAAGCATCTGCGACACATTTTACTACTGCGTCGAGGGTAAATTCAATATGATAACGTGCCCCGATGGTCTCGTCTTCTCCGAGAAAACCGGTATCTGCAATTGGCCGGATGAGGCCCAGAAGAAGGGCTGCGGCTCCAAGGAGCTATTCAATTTCACTTGTCCAAAGGTCAATGAGACAGTGGCAGCAACTCATCCTCGTTATCCTGACAGCGAGGACTGTCAATATTTCTATGTCTGCGTTAATGGTGAGATACCGAGGAGAAATGGTTGTAAAATTGGTCAAGCATTCGACGAACGCACCGGCAAGTGCGACTGGGCAAGAAAAATTCCTGAATGGTACGTTTATTTTATTAGACAAAGGAGAGATGGGTCTCTGGTGCACAGAACGTGTTTCGCATTATGATAATGAGAAACTCAACGGCCAATCCCTGATGACAAGACTCTCGGGCCTTTCACTTCGGTGATTTTGCTGTTGCCGTTTTATTTTCAAATCGGCAATGAGAATTCTAATGAATTTTATGGCAAACGGGTAAAGGGTAACGAGTCGATCTGTCTCTTTGGACAGTTTTCGTGGAATATCGATGAATCTAGTGGAGGTACAGCAATCTTTATTGGAAACTTTTTTTGAGCGGAGAGGAGAGCTGCAAAAAAGATTCTCATGAAAATTGCGATATCTCTTCTACGTTTTGAGATATTCCTCGATAACTCACGAATTAAATTGATGCATCTGTTACTCTTATTTTTTCGCTCTTCCATTTATTCGAAGATCAATGAATAATAATTATTCATTACCAATACTAAAAATTATTATAAATATTCATAATTAATTATGAATTTTGGGATTGTTTTGAGAGGACAAACATCTGTTATTATTGTTATTATTGATATTATGATGAAAAAAAATGTTGATGTGGAATTTTGAATTTTTTTATTGTGCAATCATTCAGATTTTTTTGCAATAAATTTTACAGTAAAGACTGGTACAAAGGGCAACTGACTGATGCAGAATTGGATGCCCTGGAGAATCCCCCACCGAAGGCAAAACCAACGGGTGGTCCAAGCCGACGAAAAAGCTCAAGACCCACAAAAATCTGAGCTCCACCTAGACTAAGAAAATATTTAAATCGTATTTTTTTTTTTCCAACCGAGAATTTTCTACTGTAATTGTTAAATAAAGTAAACACTTTACGTAAAATGGAGGTTGGCAATTGGTGTTACGTGTGATAGCTTTCATTTTCCTGGGCTGCGGCTTTGTGGAAGAAATGGGGAAGTGGTTTTGGAAATTCGGGTGACGGCCATCGACTCGTGGAGAAGGCCTAGGTCTCCAGTATCTGGATGACTGATAGCTTTCGCCGAGTGGTCAATGTACGGTGAATAGATTTTTATTGTCAGATGGGGCATCGCTTTCATTTTGAAACTGCTCTGACGAGAATTAAAGATTTCACCAATTAATTGATTATCATTGATAACAGGAATCAATTCCGTAATTATTACAGAAATTAATCATTCGATTTCGAATTTTTATTTTAATTTCTTTTCATTATTATT